CAAATAATATATTATTAGGAGCTTTACAAAATTACTTTGAGGTATGAGACATATTGGAAAGTCTACGATTCAGTGGGGTTTTTTGGTGTATTGCCAAGGTCATTCAACCATTACCATTACCTAGTTCCAGAACATTTTCATTTCACCCCAGAAAAACCCCTGTATGTGTTAGTGGTCGCTCCCATTTCCATCTTTTCCAAGCACATTAGTTACTTTATGATAGACCTGTTTCCTTCTTCCTTCCAGATCTTGGTACCGATGGAATCATCCCACCTACCTCCACTGAGACCAGAACATTCCTCCTGCTGCACCTGGCCCTGTATGACCCCCCACCCCCAAGGAAGGGAGCCACGCCCCCTCTATGTGGACAGATTACTTTCAGAAGCGTGGAAGAAAAGCCCCACTATGAGTGAACCCAGACTCTTGCCTTCTTCAGGAGCAAGGGCTTCCAGAGAGCCAAACTGTGATAGAGCCATGTGCTGACTCTAATGCTCTTGAAATACATCTCCCTCCCAGGAGGTTTTCGTTTTCACCGTCTTTGCCTGTGCCCTGAGCTTCTACCATGACTTCACCAAGGCAATAGTCCTTCAGAGAAAAGGACTTCTTGTCATTATTCTCCAACTCATCCATGGGATTCTGGGGACAGCCATTTGCCTGGTGTGCCATACTGCCAGAGACAGTGGTTTTGATTTTGAACTTAGCCACAATCCCAAACTGATCCCAAAATCTGTGGAAAGATTTGAATCCTGTCTCTACCAAAGCCTGATGGTTTCTCTGTTTAGTAGTTTTCCCAGTGATTCACCATTTCACCCTATTTTCTTTTTAAGCTCACCCTTTTTTCTTTCTACAAACAGATCCATCCCCCCCCCCCTCTCTGTCTCTCTCTCTCTCTTTTGGGTGGGGGATACTGGGGATTGAACCCAGGGGAACTCTACAAAAACTGAGCTATATTGCTAGTTCTTTTTTTATTTTTAATTTTGAGACAGGATCTCACAAAGTTGCCCAGGCTGGTCTTAAACTTGTGATCCTCCTGCCTCAGCCTCCCAAGTTGCTGGGATTACAGGCATGTGCCACACCCAGCCAGCTCCATCCATTCTTGCATTCTCCCAAGTACCTTCCTCTCTACAGATGGCTGAGCCACCATCTGTCCCCTGGGCATGCTGCTCTGCCCCCTGGTGCTCTTCTGTTGGCTCACATCTACCCCAGAGTTCAAGAGTACTTGCTTTCCCTCTCTTTCCCCGTGTTTCTCCTTAGCCCACCCTCCCTCTTTCTCCTGGCTACATAAAAGGAAGAACCCAAGAGCAAACACACAAATGTTGTTGGCAATCTGTACATAGTGTTTTCCTGGTTTTACATTATGTTCTTCTCTCCTTAATGTGGAATTTTCCAGAAAGATGTTTAACTCAGGTGTGAATTTTGAAGATGTCTCTGTAATATTTTATCTTCTTTTAAAAAAAAGAAAAAAGGAAAAAAATACCAAAGTGTGAAATACTTCCAGAGTTCCCTCTCAGGCTGGGAGTCTGCTGACTTTTTTGGGAATATTATCTCTAGAGTCTCCTTTGTGGGCCAGTGTGTAGAGCTCTAACATGAAGCCATCCCAGAAATGGTCACTTTTTTTTTCTTTTTTTAAAGACTGCATATCCAGGAAACTGTTGAGACCCAAAGGAATCTCTCGGTTTCTAAATAAATCTGTATAGTGATGACATAAACTATGTCATCATTGGTAGAAGAAGTTTAGATTACCATGTTGTGCCTTTTCGTTGTGAGGAGTGGGAAAGGGGAGGGGATATGAGTGCATATAAAGAAATGGGGTGAGAAGAATGATTCAATTGGTACAGGAAGTGTATTGCCCCCAAAGGGGAGGCTAAAGATGGTCTACATTGACACAGGGCCCTAACGAGTTCAGAGTTCTTACTTCTTGGGATACAACTATCTTGGGGCACAGTAGGCAAGAATTATTTTCCTCATTTTGTAAGTGGGACAATGGTGAATATTTAAGACCAAGTCACTCAGAGACTCCAGAGGTGGAGCTGAGGAGAATCTCTCTTATCTCAGATGTCCTGAACATTAATTATAATTTATTCACAACATGAAGCCTTAGAAATTTAAGGCAGAGTAAATTTCATAACCATATATATGAAGAAGGTTGAGATGCAGACAAGGCATCCTTGTGTTTTCTCTTAGTTGAATAAAAACTTAAGCAGCTACACATCTGGGCACAGTGACACAAACCTGTAATCCCAGTGACTCTGGAGACTGACAGAAGGATTGAAGTTCTAGACTCAGAAATGTAGCAAGACTCTGTTACAAAATAAAAGGGACCGGGGATGTCATTCAGTGGTAAAGCACCCCTGGGTAATGGTGAATGGGGAAAAACTAGAATTAATATTAAACAGTTGTTGCAAATAGTAGCATCCACATGGGAAACCTACACATAAATCCTTAGGAGTGGACTCCTCTGGATGTTTGAATAGGGCTTACTCTAAGACTTGTAGTTCATGCCATGAGGTAGGAGAAAGGCTATTGGTAGCAGTTACTTTCTCAAGAAAAAGATCCACAACCACAAGAATGGGACCCTATTTAGAATAAATTATACTCCACCAAAAAAAAATGGGGGGGGGGCGAGAGAGAGAGAGAGAGAGAGGAAGAAGAAGAAGGGGGAAAAAAGATCTAGTTAAAATCAGTGAGCTGAAAGTTGGTCTCTTGCACTGTCCCCAAACTCTGGTTTTCATCCAAGGGCTCATGGTTTTTTTTTTGTTTTTTTTTTTGGTACCCAGCATTGAATCCAGGGATGCTTAACCACTGAGCCACATTCCCAGCATGTCCTCCCCCCCCTCACATTTATTTTTTTTATTTTGAGACAAGGTCTTGCTAAATTGCTGAGGCTAGCTTTGAATTCATAATTCTCTTGCCTCAGCCTCCTGAGTCACTGGGAGTGTAGGCATGCACAGCCATACCCAGCAGCCCATGATTTTTATGAAAAACAAAATTGTAGCCTAATTGTTCCATCTCTGTAGGTTCCATTGACTGGGACATTTGCTGCACAGAGTCTAACCTGGAAGTGAGTACAAATTTAACTTTCATGTCTGCATGATTCTTTGAAATCCATAATTCCAGGGAAGTTGACTAGAAGTTTGGTTAGTTTCTTCAGCATCTATTTATAGATAAGAATCTAAGGGCAACAACCAATCATTGTTAGTGGGGAAAGAAAAGAGGAAAAGATTGTTACTGTTGCTTTTCAAATTTTATTTCATTCTTTGTTTAATCTTCAGTTCACTCAAAGCTGGTGAGTACAACTGTGGGCTCCTAAGGCAAAGGATTTTTGGTTCAATTCAGGGAAGGCACTTATTAACCCCAGGTCTCAAATCAGAAAGTCTGCCCTGAGGCCTAAATTTCTGGGTGCAGTGATCCCCTCTATGGGTACTTTGCATGCTCCTGGTATATCTTTGGGAGTTCCTCTGCTCCCATAGATTGTGTGTGTGTGTGTGTGTGTGTGTGTGTGTGTGTGTGTGTGTGTATGTGTGTGTCACAAGTGGTGCTATTAATAATTACTCGGAGGTGGATTGTCTTTAAATGCCAGTGTATATTTAATCACACCAATCATCAAATATAAACAATTAATACAAAAAGTGTTGGGTGTGCGGGAGCACCCCAACTACAATTCAATGCACGATAATTAAACACTATAAGCAAATCACACAATCCTAGGCTAACCACAAGCCCCAAAATACCTCCAATGCCACGTGACTTCTCTTACCCAAAGAGCAGACTTGTCCTTGTCTGGTGGTTCTCTCCAACCAATGGCTGGATGTCAGAGAATGGTGGAATCAGTCCTGGACAGTCAGCAAGGTGGCCAGTCTCACTGATGTCCTTGGAGCAAAATATCTTTAAGGTGGCAGGACAAGCAATTTAAACACAGTTCCAAGTTGGTGGTGTACATTTGTGATTAGTTACACCCAGTGAAAGTCAATGTCCATTGTTACGTCTGGTGAGGTGATATAATTGCAACTGGGCATGTTCTTCGTGCATGTCCATGGAGCTGTGCTCCCTATCAATTGTATCCAGTCATTGCTAAGCTTGCCTATAGCTAGTGTCCTTTACAGCTCCTTATCAATTGCAAGCAGACATGACTAAGCATGTCAATGGCTGCTGTTCCTTATGGCCAGCAACTTAGTGAATCCCAGCATGTCCCAGCCTGTCTATGGCAGATGCTCCTTACAGTGTGGAAGCAGACCCTTGGAGTTGGGGCTTATTTTTTTTTCTCAGTGTCCCCATACTTAACATTGTGCCTACACATAATAGGCAATTAAGATTTTTTTAAAGTTAGATATGGTCCTTTTTCTTTTGTCCTTTATTTATTTATCTTTATGTGGTGCTGAGGATCAAACACAGGGTGAGGCAAGTGCTCTACCATGAGATACAACTCCAGCCCAGGCAATTAAGATTTTTGAAGTAGAATTTCTTTTTTTTTCCTCTAAACAACTTCTAATATTATCTACTGTGGTAGGAGATACAAATTCAAAACATAGTATACATATTAGGAGATCTAGTCCAATTAGTACCATATCTTGGTGGTTAGGAGCACCCCAAAATTATCTTCCCTGAGATCATGCCCACCTGTGCTTCCTATTTTTTTTTTTTAGTTGTTGAAGGACCTTTATTTTATTTATATGTGGTGCTGAGACTCGAACCCAGTGCCTTGCACATGTAGGTAAGAACTTTGCTTCTGAGCCACAACCTCAGCCTCCTTTGCTTCGTATTAATCATGTCACTTTGGGAAAATTCTCTCCTGTTCTGTGCCTTAATTTCTCACCTGTAAAATGGATGTAAAAACAGATCCCATTCCTTAATGTTATGATGAGGATTGAATGAATTAATATTTGAACAATGCTTAAATTATGTCTGGTGAGTTAATAAGGCAATGCTGTATAAGTGTTGTCAGTGTTATTGTGATTATTGGGTCGTTGTTATGAAATCAGTGAAAAGTTTCCTGTTCTCTGCTCTCCCTAATAACCCAAATCTTTCCTGGGGGATTCCAGTATTAACAAGGATCTGTTTTGGTGGAACAGAGATTGTGGCCAAAGATATATAAATTAATAAAGTTTAATCCCAAGTTATGGTGTTTGAACCTGGAATCCTAGTCACCCAAGCCTAAAGGACAGGTGCCTTCCTTAATCACCTCAGCCTTTGGACTCCTGAAGGCTTTAATGCTGTATTCTTTTTTTTTTTTTTTTTTTAGTTTTTGGCGGACACAACATCTTTGTTGGTATGTGGTGCTGAGGATCGAGCCCCGGCCGCACGCATGCCAGGCAAGCGCGCTACTGCTTGAGCCACATCCCCAGCCCAACGCTGTATTCTTTTATGGAAAATGGTGGCAACAAAAAGAAAGTCCCAAATGCAGATACAAAAGAATGAAAAAAAATACTATAATCAAAACAAACAGGGGAAAGGTTGAGATTTGCATACTATCCATTTACTGAAATGAATCTTGGGATGTTTTCTTTCTTCAAGGTATCATCACCTTTTATTAGGTCTATTCCAACACATTTGTAACAGGTCTTCTCCAATTCATCTTATAGTGATTTGTTAAAATTTAAAATTTAGTCATGTCTGCTTGCAATTTGTTAAAATTCAAATTCTGATTTAGTAGTTCCAGAGCAGGGTTCTCAATTCTGCACATCTGAATTGCGGGGGGTGGGGGTGGGGGATAAAAATAGTTGATACACAGAAATTCTGATTCACTTTGATGTATGGACAGGACATCAGGATTTAAAAAATCTCCTAAAATCCCAGGCACCATGGTATACCCTGTAATTCCAGTATGGGAAGTTGAGGTAGGAGGATCATAAGTTCAAAGCCAATTTCAGCAATTTAGTGAGGCTAAGCAACTTAGTGAAGTTCTAAGCAACTTAGTGAGATCCTGTCTCACAATAAAAAAATCTATAATTATTTCAATATTAATTCTATTGGCCAGGTGTAGTGGGGGAATTCCTGAAATCCTAGTGGCTTGGGAGGCGAAGGCAGGAGGATAGCAAGTTCAAAGCCAGCCTCAGTAACTTAGTGATGCCCTAAACAATTTAGTGAAACCCTATCTCAAAATAAAATATATTTTAGAGAAAGGGCTGGGCATATGGTTCAGTGGTTAAGTGCCCCTGAGTTCAACCCCCCAGTATTCCACCCAACCCCTACAAAAACAACAACAGAAATCTATTGCCATATATAAATAAAAAAAGAACCAATAAAAAACTATGACCAAATAAAAAAATAAAAATACAATAAACAAAAAAAAATAAAAGGACTGGGGATGCTGGGGATGTGGCTCAGGGGTTAAGTGCACCTGTGTTCAATGGCTGGTAACAATAAACAAATAAATGCAAGCTCCTCAAACATTTCTTCTGTGTGATCAAGGTTGAGAACAACTGCCTAAATGTGTGAACAATTCATTGGAACCTTGTTAAAATGCAAATCCTGGTTTAGTAGTTCCAGAATTATGGTCTGATTATGTGTTTCTAATGAACTGCCAGGCAATGCAGATTCTGCTTGCCCACAGACCATGCTTTAAGTAGCACAAGCTTGGAGAGCATGGTAATATGATTCCCTTGCTCAATAAAATTGGTGGGTGTGGTGATGCATCCCTGTAACCCCAGCTACTTGGTGGGTGGGGCAGGGGGATCGAAAGTACAAGTTCAGCCTGGGCAACTTAG